ACCCAGCTCTCTGGGACACAAAACCTCCTGCAAAAACTGCTCGGGATGAGCTCCCTGCTGAAGAGGGTAACAGCCTCTCTGCTGAGACGTCTGAAAATTGCCTTTCAGAAAACAAATGTTTGTTTCTGTTACCTTTGGAGACTTACAGAGATACGGGGAAACAAGGTGGAGTGTTTTCTGATATCTCTGTTGTGATGTGCAATGCACTTGACTTATTATGTGCTCTTCCTTTTAAAGAAGCTGCTGCTATGAAAGCCTGCAAAAAACCCCTAGATAATCAGATGAATTTGTACCTGCCCATAAAAATGAAATACTTTGACATGATTTTGCCATTATGCATTCAGGCTGCGCTTCCCCCCCTTTGACTCCTGCTCCTTATTTGCAGCAAAGCTTTCAAGTTTATTATTGCTGTATTGAATCTCGTTTCATCCTTATGACTAAGCGCAGCATAAATGTGCATCATCCTGTCCGGAGGCGTTTGGAACCCGTCTGCTGACCTTGCTGTGCTGCCCGGTGCCTTGCAGGGCTCGGTGCTAATGGGCAGCAGTGCCCAGACTGAGGGGCAGCCCGTGGCCGCTGCAGGAACCGGCTCCTTTCTGTCTGCATGTGCAATAGAGCCTCTCTCCTGCACCCTATTAATCGTCATCTGAAATCTGCAGGTTATTTTGATGATGTTATAATATTTGCTATCAGAAAACACATCATGGAGTTGGGCATTATTCTAAATTTTGCACTTAGGTCTCTTAAAAACGTGTATTTACTGACGCCCAAAAGCTATTGAACGTAGATTGTAGATTGTTTGAGTGGTGATTGCAGTTCTGCCTGTTTGTGTGCTACGTGGTGCATCTTCTGCATTTCATGGCTTTTATTATTATTCTATATAACCCCACAATAGCTGCCTGCTCGAGGCAGCTAAGGTGAGAACTTAGTCACCATTTATTTAATCAGCAGAGCAGATGTCTCACTGCAAACTTCCATTAATAAACCTCTGGGTTGGTCTAAATAAGTCGAACAGTTTTAGCACCACCAGGTTCCAATAAACCTCTGGGTTGGTCTAAATAAGTTTTAGCACCACCAGATTCCTCTGTCATCTTCTCCATAGCAGTGATTTTTGGTGTCATTATTTAACACAGCGTAATGCTATGCAGAACTTGGCCTCATTAAATTAAACGCTCAACAGGCTTGGCATTAAATTGCCAAGCGAAACAAAGATAAGGATAAACTAATTTTCTTTAGCGGGTGATTTACACCTTACGCAGGTAATGGGACAGGATGGGGGGTGCAGAACACTCAATTAAGAAATATTATCAAGGAGGGACGAAAGGAACGTCGGGGACGGCCGGCTTTGGTCACGGGAGCTCCTGGGAGCAGCTTGAGCACGGGGAAGCAGCCCGTCTCCGTGCAGGTATTCTGGGTTTATTGGGCGCGCATCCCTGGAAATTCTCCGAGTTGGACACACCAGGGTGCTGTACGGACATGGACCCTTTGCTTTTCCTCCGCTTCCTCTGCAAACCCTTTTGCTTCCTCTTCCTCAGTGCGTCCCGTTAATTGGTTTGAGTTAATTGCGTTGTGACACATCTGGCCAGCCGGAATGGTCAGTCTCTGTCATGCTTGGGATTTGAAGCTCAAGACGCTCGTGGTTGCTCAAGGCCCCAGCCAGCCTTATTAAAGCACACAAGGAGTTTATAATTTGCAGATGGAGAATGGAAACATACTGCACCGGCGATGGCAAGGAGCGAAGCCAGGAGCTGCCTGCCACTAATCCTCCTTTTCATCTTTTTTGCCCCATTTCCTTTGCTCCATCCGTCCCCCAGCCTGGAGGGCGTCGCAAGGAGCGCGAAGGGCCTTCGGAAACGTGCATGTTCCTTTGCACAATTAACCCTGTGCTAATGAAGCTTGAAATAAGGACGTAAGGAGTGCCTTATCTCAACATGTAGCATCTTTCCAATGGCTGGAGCGATATTTTAGTCTGGAAAAAGGAAGGAGTTTGCCTTTACTGTCATTGCAAATGCAAATGCATTGCAATGCAGATTTGGTTTTCTATCTATTTATCTTCTGCTCCGTGCCAGGCCTCCCCATTGCCCTTGGGGCACGGAATAAGGGCACGGAGCCGTGTTGGCCCCCGGGAAGCTCCGGGGCAGGGACGGGCTTGGTCCAACCCCGTGGAGGTGGCAGCTCCTGCCCTGGATGAAGCGCGTTTCATAAAATCATAGAATGATAGAATGCTGAAGGTTGGAAGGGCTCCGCGCGGAGCAGGGCCGAGCGCGGTGCTCGGGATGCGGGTTCCTTCGTGCCGGCGCTCCCGGCGCGGGCTGCGCCGCAGATGTTGGAAGCCGGAATTCCCAAGCGCTCTCCTCGGGTCGGAGCTGCATTTTTGTTCTATGATATAATGCTGATTTGCTAATGAAAACCCTGTCACTGGTGAAAGAGAAATGCTTGGGAAAGGCCCTTTGGGCTTTTAGAAATTGCTCAGGTGCTTTTCTTTTTTGTTTGGTTTGAAAAAGCAAAACTGAAGGCAGAGAAGGTCTGGGTGAAGGTCTCGGGAGGCAACAAATCTCCCTTGCCTGTTTGCCTCATTCATCTTCTAGGTGTCACAGTGGGTTAACAGAAGTCCTCACCTCCATGTCAGAACAAAATGAGCGTTATGAACACGATGCAGACGATGCATCAGTGCTTTGGGGTCTGCGTAGAGGGGTTCTCATGATCGTGTCCTGTGCCGTCGATAGCAGGGCAGGTGTTTTAATCTTTGAAACAAACCCCTCACAGGTCACTGTGCTATTGAGAGCAAGCACGTCAGGGTAAGATGCTCGTTTCAAATTCCTTGAGGATAATTAGCAAAATGGTACGACTCGTGTAGAATTGGTGAGCAGGTACCTGAGGGAAACCCACCTTCCCCAGGTCAATCCTGCATAGGAAAATCCCCCCAGCACCCGTGCCCCATGCAGGCAGTTGCTCGTGTCAGGTCCCTTTCCATTCTGTTGATCAGTTAATATAAATCTTCCATAATTTTATATCTATTTTCTGAAATAGCTTCCACCCTTGCAAACTGACTAACCAGGGAGAGATTTGGGCTGAAATTCCCCTCTTTGGAGCAACGCACCCGGTGCCGCCACCCCCCTGCTCAGCTCCCGTGCATTTTGACCTCTTTGCTGGCACCAATCCCCTCCGGGGGTAACGCAGGTGCCTTTAGCCCCTGTCATTCCCGAGCCTGCCTCGGATCCGCAGGGATCCCTGGATGAAGGCTTTGGAAGTGGCTGCCCGCTCCGGTGCCTCCCGCAGGGCCCTTCATCTGCCGTTTCCCGGGTATTTTCTTGCCCGAGAGCGGGAGGGAACCGAAAAGGCATCCAGGCACCTCGGGGGGGATGTTCATTGCAGAGGAAGGGGAACACGGCGCTGCTGATGCGTTATTGGGTTGCAAACGTGTGTTCTTGCCACTCGGGAGCCCTGGGAGTGGGTCCGGCCGGGGATTCCTGCGGGATTTGCCTTCCCCGGGAGCAGGGACGCGGGCGGCCCCGGAGCCGCTCCGAGCTCACGGCTGGTGCTGACCGCGGAGTGGGGACGGCTGAAGCTCCGGGGGATCCACAGGAGGGATTCACCAGAACTCGGTGCCGGCTGCGGGGTGCTTGGGTGGCCCTGCCGCCACGTGGACCTGGCGTGCGCCTGGGGCAGCCGGCAGAGGAGACAGCATCTTCAGCAAAGGAAAATCACCCGTAAATCTGGGTGGATTTGCTTAGATTAAGTTACCTTAAAGAAGAAAAAACCAAAAGTTTTCCTGTTTTCCTTCCTTTAAGTGCTAGAAAGGCAGCGATATTGAATGCCAGGGCAGTGTTTTCTTGCAGCTCTGACAAGTGCTCCCTTGACCAAGCTGTGGTGTAGATGAGCAGGACTGGGGGTGCCCCGAGCCCCCATAAGCAGCAGAGCGGGGAGCGGGGCGGGCGGCAGCTGCCCCGTGTGAGCAGAGCAGAGCAGAGCAGAGCAGCCCTGCAGCAACCAGGAGGCTGCGGGTGCCCCTGGCAACAGCGCTTGGTCCTGCCTGCCTTTCCCGCGATGTACGTTGAGATAACGCGGCGTTCTGCAACGGCCCCAGCCGTGGGAACGGCCTGGGACCTGGATTTGTGGCAAAGACGGAGAAATCCAGCACCGTCCTGCAAGCCCTGAGCGAGGGCTGGTCCTGGCGGCGCCCGGGAGCCCTCCGTGTGCCCCGTGCTCCCTGCCTTTGACTTGCTCCCGTTTAAGTGGAGCCAACCTGGTAGCGTCTCTCCTGGGAGGATGCTCCAGGATTTGCCGATGCTTTTCCTGGCGTTGGGCAGGGAAGGGACACGAGAGGTCAGTGACCTGCAAGGCGAAGGGCTCAGAAAACCGGGATCTAGCCTTGGGAAAGCAGGATGTGTCCTCCCTGGCTGCCCTGTGCTGGTGGAGCCCCGTGTGCCTTTATTTGCGCCCCTCACACGTGTGCGTGTGCCCGTGCCGGGCGGGCAGGTTCACCCTGCGCGCTCCGCGTCGCGGATCCCTCCAGGGCTCCCTCCATGGCGCTCGGCCGTGCCTGCCCCGTGTCCTCCCGCGGTGTCACCAAAAAGCCCTTCTCCAAGGACGGCAGCGCCGCTCCGCTGCGGAGCCCGCGGCCCCGGCCGGCGCTGCCGCTCGATGAGGAGCAGCGGGTCATTCCCGGGAGAGGCCGGGCGAGCGCCCCGCTCGTCCCCATGGATCTGCTCCCTGTTAGCTCCGGCTGCTTCCCTGAGCCGCGCCAAGAGGACGGAGCGCGCGGTCCTCTCGTTCCCTCCCGGCCTGCAGCTCACAAGGAATTCGAGCAGGAAACGCTTTCTGAAGGGGTCTTCATTTTCTAACTGTGTTCTGGACCTGCTCCGTCACAAACTCGTACTTGGGTGTTTTGGGAAAGCCAAACCGCAGGTTTCCGCTGCAGCCGAAGCTCCGGGGGCGGCGGCGCCGGCCTGACCTGTCCACTCTCATGTTCTACCTGTGCTGTTTTGGTTCTCGTGCAGATGGAGGGAGCGAGGAGCCGCCAGACCGAAGACAGGCAAGTGTAGACTCCCGCCAGAGCCGCTCTGGGCAAGGTAACGTGCGCGTTGTTCCCCGCAGTGCCCATCTCCCGTTCATCTGGCTTTTCTATCCATCCGTTTCCTATTTCCATACGCTGCCAGTGCCTCGGGAATTCTCGTCTGCCATCGTGGTCGTTGCAATAGGTGCAGATTTGCTGCCGTTCGAGCACAGAGCTGCTTAGCTTTATCGCTTGCAGGTGTTTGGAATAATTCCGGAGCTTTCCACGTGGGGGGCTGTGAGAGGGGCCTGTTGTCAGCCCGAGCGGATCAGGGGTGTCCAGGGACCTGGTCCTCCTCCCCGATGGCAACGGGGAAACCCCGGGTAGTTCTCACAGCTCCAAAACTCCCCTCGCGGTGGCCTGTCCTGCAGGGAGGTCCCCGGGCTGCCCTGGTCCCCACCAGCCTCGTGGTGTTTCATCCTGCAGGCGCAGGAAGGGCCTGGGAAGAAAACTTGACATTATTTCAATATTAATCCTACAACCTCCTCCTGGTGCTGAGGGCCCCCGTTTTGCACCAGTCTTGGTGTTAAAGCCACCGCTGTGGCTGTGCAGCAGGGAGAGCTGTCACCGACTGCAGCAGCTCTTAGCTCTGGAGCAGCTTCTGCATCCCTCAAAATCACTTCCTGGAGAGGCTTCCAGGTATTTGCTCGTTCAGGACAGTTGTGAACACGCAGGTGTCTTTACACCACTCGCAAGATGGGTTAAAAAGCCCCCTGTAGAAACCCAGCTTGCGAGTAGGTGCTGTCTGTGTTGACTCATTTTCTGCTTCAGATTGCAGCAATAATTTTCCTTTAATTTCGACTCGGCTCCGTTGTTGTCATGGTGTCCCCATGACTTATTATAGAGACAGATCCTCGGAGCATTGTTCGGATTTGGCAGTATTCCAGTGTTGCCCAGGCAAAATTATTCCAAGTGATTGAAGCCTCTAATCAGAATTAGGGGGGAACAGGAGTTTCGAGCGAAACCCTGTGAAAGATCAACAACTGAAACTGCTTTGTTAACATAGACCCTCTCTAATGCTATTTTAAAATTCCGTATGTTAGAGGAGGAGAATTGAAATAAGGGAGAACAAGGGAGTTTGTAATGGCACGGCCCTGGTGAGAGCTTGCCTGCAGATCACATTGGCGTCCTGCGGTTTTGTTAAGGCAAAATGAACAGTCCTTTTCCAAACACCGCTGGTTCCTGTGGAATTCCCTGCAGAGGCAGAGCCTTCCCTGCTTTCCCTGCAGTTAGTCCTTGTGATGCTTGTGTCGTTGTTGGGATTTTGCTTGCAAACCTGCGCTTAGGAGCTGCAGCACCTTCCCATCCTCTCTTCTGTCAGATTTATTGCTGCAGATTTATTCTGGACCTTGCTGTGGATAAATACACATTTGAGGAAATCTAGATAGTTTTGGGCAAATCTTTACTTGCCAAAAACCGACCCTACTATTGCAGTTTGCATTACAATGCGACACTGCAGACAGGGTAGTTCTTCCCAAGTTGCTCCCTTGATTTGTGTTGTGTGAGTCCAGGAACAGCCATAGTTAGGGACATTCGGTGCAGGTGGGAAGAGTGGGGGAAAGAAAAGCAAAAGAGAAACATGCAGGAAAAGTGCTAAAGTGCTGCTGTCCTGGGAAGCAGAGGCTTCTGCACTGCGTGTTCCCGTCTGCATCCGTGGATGCGGCTGCAGGTCCAGGCTGCCTTTTGCATGCAGGAAAACCGGAGTGCGGAGCCCGCTGGTGTGTCCCAGTGGAGCCCAGTGCTGCTGGGTGGAGAAACTCCCGCTCCTGCCCGTTCCCTCCTTGTGTTGGGAACGGAGGGAAGGGGGGGAGCTTTTCCTCTGTTCTCTATTCCTGCTCCCCTAAGCCTGGAGCCAGCCCTTCTCCCAGATACAGAAGTGTCAGCTTTAACCTTGTCCAGTTTCCCGTGCCGAAGGCCCTGCGTGTCTGCACGTGTTAACAAGTATTTTCCCCAGGAGTGGGTCAGGGATCGGGTTTGGGGGGAAGCTGAAGCTGCCTGGGTTCTTCTCCCTGCCCTGGGTGAGATGCTGCCCCCGTTGCTGGCAGTTTTTCGGTAGCGGCAGAAGTTGGTCAAGGCACCGCAGACTGGAGCTGCAGGAATCGGTAAAACACCCGGTGCTTCCTTTGGACCTGCAGCAAGACACAGAGTATTGCCAGCTTCAATGGAAGCTAAACATAATCTGGAGAAGCTGCAACTTTTGATTTTAAGGATCGCTACCAATGATAGTAAATCTCTTTTTTATCTGGTGCCAGCTGGGTTTTGAAAACACTTTGTGGAACTTTTTGGTCCGTGCCAACCCCATGTGCGAGTGGCCGCTCTGGCGCCGTGCCTGGGCTTTGCATTCGCTCCCCCCTTAGCCCTGGCCCTTGCACTGTGGACCTGCTTGCAGAAACCCACCTGGAAAGACGAGGTCTGGGGTCAGCGTGTGTCGAATCAGCTCTACGTGCAGCCAAGCGACTGGCCATGCACAGCTGAAAGAAGCCCGATTTATTTATTCATCTATTTATTTATTGTAGCATCATGCTATCAAATTACACCCTCCTGGAAAAAAAAAATGAAGCCCAACTGCATCAGCAGCCCCTGAATCTTTTGGTTGATTGCCAGCCAAAACCGCGAGCCAGGATGGCACCAAACATCCAAAGTTGGAATGTGGAACCCAGACCCCGCGTGGCACCTTCCGACGGGCACCAGCAGCTCTGGCTTCCTCTGGCCATAACCAACTGGTTCCTGTTTACCTGCAGGAAGCAGAGTCAGAACCGAACGGTTCATGTTTACCTGCCGGAAGCAGAGTCAGAACCGAACGGTTCATGTTTACCTGCCGGAAGCAGAGTCAGAACCGAACGGTTCATGTTTACCTGCCGGAAGCAGAGTCAGAACCGAACGGTTCATGTTTACCTGCCGGAAGCAGAGTCAGAACCGAACGGTTCATGTTTACCTGCCGGAAGCAGAGTCAGAACCGAACGGTTCATGTTTACCTGCCGGAAGCAGAGTCAGAACCGAACGGTTCATGTTTACCTGCCGGAAGCAGAGTCAGAACCGAACGGTTCATGTTTACCTGCAGGAAGCAGACTCGTGGCAGCTGCTAGTGCAGAATGGAAGGTAAAAGCGAAGCGAGCTGCTTCCCCTAAGGGGGACGTCCTCGACTGGAGGATTTGCACGGACTTCGTTAAAGCACCATAAAGCAAACGGGAAAAACACCCGTGTCCACCTCCCAGTGGCAGTAATGCAGTCCCTAGTGAATTTAACTTAAATATTTCCAACTGTGACATGCTGCTTGAGCTTACTGCAGGCATAAAAATTTAAGAACAAAATGATGAGGATTAAACTTCAGCCGCATGCTCAGCCTGTGAACTGTGGTGAATGTTCAGCAAGCAAGGGTAGAAGTCGTGTTCTGAACCATCAAAAATAGCGTGTGTGTGCAACGTGCATCAGTGTTTAATTTGTTGTAGAGACCGTTTCAGAAATGCTGAGACGACAACCTGAGAGCTGGCATCAGTAACGGGGAATTTCAGCCATGTGACACTACCTTTTAGCAGCTTTCAGGAGCTTGTCCAATATTTAAGTTATTTGAATGTGCTGTTTTTTTTTCGCCTTCCCATAAATATTTTGCATTGTTCACATTGCCCTCTGGGTATCTAGAATGAAACGAGTCCACGGGCTCCTCCGAAGAACTGTGCACTCGAAAGCATTTATCCTTTTGTCTTCTCCACAGGCTATTTATGTCTCCCCACTGTCTAGGGGTTGCACTTTCTTCTAAATATATTTCCACGAGCCGCTGAGAACCACGCAGAGCAATGCAACGCAGATCAATAAGAACCTTGATGGAGAAGAAAGCAGTAGTTGGCCCTAAAAGCTGAACTGCAGCTCTTAGAGATGTAGCACAGATGCGATTCAGTCGCGTTATTTGTAGTGGAACATAAATGTGACCGGGTTTGAGATGGGCCTGCATGTTGTTAGTTGAATCTATAAGGTTAATGTTCATGCCTAGAGGAGGAGCACGGAGGATCCTGGGTCGCAGCTTTCCATATTTTGCTGCAAAAGGAGGAATGTAGAGCTCCAAGATCCTGCTTCCCTTCCGTTTCCCGCTCCAGGTGTGGCCATGCCTAGCAATAACGTGCCCTTGGCTAGAACATGCCCTGAGTGTCCAAGACCCCGAATCCTCCCGCGTGGCGCTGCTGGGTCCGGTCTGTGGGTGCCCCGCGGGTGCGGACGCTGCTCGCGCTGCTCAAAGCAGCCTCCTTCCTTCCCTCATCCCTCATCCCTAACCCCTTCTCCTGCTCCTTTCTCGCCCTCGCAGGCACCTCCACAGAGAACGACTGTGCTTTTGAGCCCGACTACGCCATTCCTCCGCTCCCAGTGACCGAAGGTATGCAGCACATTCGGATTATGGAGGGCATGTCCCGCTCTCTTCCATCCTCCCCCTTACTCACACATCAGTCTATCAGTGTTCGGCTCCAACCTGTGAAGAAGTTAACTGGTAAGGATTTACATAAGTTCCGTGGGGCTTTTGAGGTCCTTTGGTGCAAAAATCTGTAGGAAAACTCTTTTGAGCAAGCTTCTGCATGCTAGTCAGGATATGTTACTGTGCCAGCTCCTGCGGGGTAGAACCACAGTGTTTGCAGGACCCCAGGAGCTTGAGTTGCTCCGATGAAGAAATTCTCCTATTCTGAAAATGGTCGCTCCTTTACAAATATTCTCTGGTTTTCTAGGAAATTTCCAGTAGTCCCAGAATGTATTTTAGTTCCCCTTTGTGTTCTGGCTCATGCATGATGAAAATGCTATAGCAATTTTAAGGAACTTCATGCTAAACTTTTTAATGCTTAGGGAAGAACACATCAGAAAAACTCTACACTTGTTTCAGTATGGCAAAGTGATATTTTTTCATAGTTCATGCATATTTTTTAACTGTTATGCTTCTCTCTCCTGAGATTGGGCACTTGAACTTAACATAGTTAAAGAACCTGGCAACTAATGTGCATTTAAAAGCCTCCCAGAGCATTTCTACTGGGAATGGTTCAGAAAAACTTAATTCTTGCCTAAAATCTGCTGTTATTCCCTGCCCAGGTTTAAAAACGATCAGCCAGAGCACTGTATTTATATTGACAGAAACGTCCAAGAAAATTGCGGATAACTCCCCCAAAATTGCAAGCAGTGGCATGGTTAATTTTCAAAAGTAATTGTGATTCTCAGTGTGCCACATTCCCAGTTTTCTGAGACTACATGGAAATAAGGAGCCTGGAATAGGGAGGAGTCAAGTTCTAGCAGTAGCTTTAGGTTAGGAAGAGTCTCAGACCAGAGAGATGTAATTACAAAGAGGAAATTGTGCCATTTTTCACATGCAAGCTAATTTAACATAGGGAATGGATACAAAATACTCCCAGATGAGCATTTCTAACAATTAAAGGAGTAACAGTGGAATTATTAGTTTTTCTAGGCAGCTTGCTAAAGGGGTGAGGTTTTGTAGAAAGATGCCTAGTGAGATCGTTAACAACAAACAATATGTGCTTAAAGAACCATTTTTACAGGACCCTGATAGTGGATGTTTCTATTTTACTTCCCAAACTAATCTTTGTGTTTTATGATGTATGTGAGTCCCAAATCATGGGCTGTTTAAATCATTATTTTGCAAATGCCTCTGTGCATCAGCTGGCAGGTACCTGTGATAACTCCTCTATGGTTTTGTGTTCTGATGCTGCTTTTTTTGAGAGAATACTCGAAAAACCAAAGCTACTTGTAATTCCATGTCTTCGTTTCTGAGTGTGTGTGTGTCTAATCAAACCAGATAAAAGATGATACTAAATGTAACCTGTATTTGTTACAATTTTTTTTACAGTTGCCTATTTATCTAAATCTGATTTTTCTGAATGAGAATCAATAATATTGAGCTCATTAATGTGCTGGGATCTTGGTTAAAAATTTGGATTTCTGGTTCCTACAGCTTTGGCTGCTGTTACAGGAAAGAGGCTAAAGTTTGATACGCAAGCTCAAAAGAACAGGTGAAAAAATACACTTTTTATAACCACGTGAGAGCAAAGAGCAGGTGATTAGGGCATTTTGCAAGGTGCCAAGGTTTGCCATTAGACAAAAATAGAATTTATATTTCCCAAAAAGCAACTGGCTAGGTGTGTCCGTGGAGTAAGTATCTGAGATTATGATAATCTCAAATTTGAGATTATTTGAGATTATGATTTCTATGTACTTGTTTGAAATAACATATAAACCCGCGTCTTAAGTTCTCTCTTGTGTTGGGAGGGTCTGCGGAGGGATTTTCAGTGCGAGAGGCCGTTGTCGGCGGGGCCGGTGGTACCCGGGGCTCGGAAGGGCCTTGGCCTCCTGTTTCTCTATTTCCTGCAATACCTGCAGCTTTCCTGAAGGCAGCGGGAAGGGCAGGGGGAGGACGAGGCTCTTCCCGCGCGGAGCCTCCGTCGCGGTGGTTCCTCCTTCCTGCTCCTGCCATTCCCTGCTGGAAGTTCTTCTGCTTCGTCTCCTTATTCCAGCTGTTACCACGGCACAATAAGAGCAGTGATTTCCTTTGGAAGAGGATGAGGGTTATTCTGGGAAAGGGGAGTATTACAGAGAGAGGCTTTTGTCCCGCTGACAGTTGCCACATGGGTTTTTCAAAGCGACCTTCAGAGCATAGAAAATTGTGGAGAAATTATCCAATTGTAGGGGCTTTTTCATGCTGTTTGCTCCTTCCATGCATTTGTGTGTGACTAACCCGCTCATGTAATAATTTCCATATCTGCACAGTGGCTGCAGAGCACTCCGGTTCCATTTAGCACATAAACCACTTTGTTTTCTTTAAAAGTTGTTTTCCTAAAGATTTAGTTTCCTGAGACTTTGCGACAAAACGTGCCTGTACCCAATTCCAGATTTCTACTTTCTGGAATTTTTCAGAGATAGAAATTGAAATGCGAAAGGTTTTTAGCTGATACAAAGACCAATTGCTTGAGTTTGAGGGCAAAACCCCTTGGTTTGGTCTAGAAATGCTCCCAGCCATTCCAGTGTAGTTGGGGATGGAAAGAAAGCAGGAGGTTAAGGAGGTTAAGGAGACCGGAGGTTAAGGAGAACTCAGGCCATTGCTGCCCTAAAGGGGAACTTTGCAGGAGCAAGCGGGACTGTTCCTGTTTGCGTTTGGGCAGTTAATGACATGTGTTTTCCCAAAGTGGCTCCTGCCATGAGGAGGTCTCCAGGGCCCTTTGGGACTCACCGCGGAGCTTCCGAGGAGCAGGTATCCTGCTGGCTCTGCCCTTCGTGGCCGGGAGCTTCCTCACGCCGCAGCGTCACCGCGGGGCCGGGAGCTCCGCGCTCCAAACGCCCCGTTGAGCTGGGTCTGGTTGAGCGGGGCCGAGGCCGGGTTAACAACCACGGCCTGAGCGTGTGGGGCGCTGGGCCGGGCGCCGCGTAGCGACAGCAAGCGCCAAACCGGAGGAATTTCTGATGCCGGGATGCTTTCCGGGATGCTAAGATGCTTCCCAGAATGCTTCCCGGGATGCTTTCCAGTGCTGGCGCTGCCGCTCGGGGCAGCCGGGATGTTTTCCAGGATGCTGGGATGCTTTCCGGGCTGCTTTCCGGGATGCTGGGATGCTTTCTAGGATGCTTTCCGGGATGCTGGGATGCTTTCCGGGATGCTGGGTTGCTTTCCGGGATGCTTTCCGGGCTGCTTTCCGGTGCTGGCGCTGCCGCTCGGGGCAGCCGGGATGTTTTCCAGGATGCTGGGATGCTTTCCGGGCTGCTTTCCGGGATGCTGGGATGCTTTCTAGGATGCTTTCCGGGATGCTGGGATGCTTTCCGGGATGCTGGGTTGCTTTCCGGGATGCTTTCCGGGCTGCTTTCCGGTGCTCACCTGCTGCTGCTGCAGGTTGCTCCAGCCGCGCTCGCTGCCGCCGCGACGCAGCCTCTGCCCGCTTTGTCCCCTGGCTTTTCCACCTCCTTGTAGGAAAACGATGGGCGATTTTCCAGGATAATCCTCAGCGCGCTCTGTAAAAGATGGAAAATCGCCTTCTCCCGTGGCGCTTCGCTCCAGCACCGCTGTCATGCGGGGCTCGGCGTCCGAGCAGCGAGAAAAGGATGCTGCAGCTTTAACGCATCCGAGGACTTCCGAGCCTTTTCCTAGGAACTGTTCCCACAATCCATGTCACGGCTCCTTATATGGTGCTGCCTTCCCTCCCCTCCCGCTCCGGTTGCCAAGCCAACGGCAGCACTGCACCATTCATCCGCGCTCCGCGCAGCCGCTCCGCCGCATCCGCGCGGGCGCCGCCGCCGCCGCCTCACGGCTCGGCCTTCCCAGCCTTTCGCCCCGACAACGGAGGGAATTGGAAAAGCAGCACGGAAAAACACCCCGCTCGGCCCCTTCCGCGCCCGGGGGAGGCGTAGCCGGAGCGCTGCGGCATCCTGCAAGCGGAGGCTGCTCCGCGCCTGCCCCGAGGGACACGGCGCGGTGCCGGGAGCTTTGCCCAAACCAGCCTGGATCGGGGCCGGAGGCGACGCGCCGGTGATGCCGGATCGAGGCGGGGGGGATCGCTCGGGTGCTTTTGGGAACGGGGCTTGACATCAGCAGCGAGAAGGTGGCACCTGTAACATCATCGCGCTGACGTGCGCGGCGAGCGCCGGAGGAGGATGCGCCGCCGCAGCGCTCCCGAGGGATCGGCAGCCGGGAATTAACGGGCTGCGCCGCTCCCCTCCGCGCAGAGGAACCGGACCCGTGAGTATCCGCACGGCCTTGCGGGGACGCGGGTCGCGCCCGGCTTTTCCTGGCTGCCTTTAAGCTCGGTGGAAAAGCGACGTGGGAGAAGGGATGCTCCGGCTGGCGGCGTGCCGGGAAGCCATTGGAAAGCTTTGGAGCGAGTGAGGGCTGCTCTCCTTGGCTTTCTTTTTGTCGGGGTTTTACGTAAGCCGAGTTTGCCTCCTGCTTGCATGGGGGGCCAGGATGGTGCGTGTGGGGAACCACAAAAGTCCCACTCGGGAAGGGGAACATCCAACAGAGCAGCTGAGGGCTGAGCCAAAAACTGCTGCGGGTCATGTGGAATCTTGGAGCGATGCTGTCGGGATAAGGGGTCGCTTTCGTACGGCCGGAGGAGGATCGAGTGGATTATGGAGATGAATGGAGCAAATCTGCTTCTCACCTAAAAAAAAAATGGAAAAAGTGAGGTTTTCAATGTAATGATACAGAGAAAAATAGCAACTTGTTAATGGTCGTTTGGAAGGAAACGTCTGTGGAGACGCTGCTAAGGTGCCGGGAGCTCGTGCTGCGCCTCGGCCCCTGGAGATGCCGTGCTGAGAACTGGCGGATTCGGTGCTGGTTCTCCTCCTTTTGAGGGGATTTTGTGCCCCTGGTTTCCATTTCCGTTTGGGGTTTTTATTGCTTTCTGCCTGACACAGTGTAAAACCCCCGTTTTTCCTGCAGGAGCAGGGGCTGGAGCGGAGGCCACGTTCCGGAGCTGCGGCAGGGGCGGGGAACAGGGCCGCGAGCCCCGG